TATCACGATTATCACACACTTTTGCATAGTTATATAAAGGAAAGGTAGAAGACGCATATTACCTTCCACATGGTAATATAATCAATCTCCATATCAATCTTCATATGGGAAAACTTTCGTTTTATATTTCAGATTAAGACGGGAAATTGCCAATCGATTACTACTTTAGAAGAAACCAAGAGATACACTTTAAGGATATCGCAAAACTTTACATATTGTCTAAACATCTGACTACCAATCAACGCCGTATCATGTGTCTTGCGGACTACGCATCCAGTAAGCACTTTTTCATGTACAATCTATTGCATGACCAACTGAATTATTGGAGGTCGCTCCATAGGTGCCGGATGGGTGTTTCCGTTGCACCCTCTCAAAATGCTTGACCAGCTGATTCCCAAATGATCTTGCAGACAGAGCAACTCCATAAGTCGATAAGTACATCACTCTGGGTCACACATTCAGTGATTACTGATTACTTCTCCAGCGTCTCTTCGTTATAACCCGTAGGCTCTAAGCTGCCCTTTCTGTCCCTACAGGTTAAAGACCTACTACCATTCAACAGAGTATCATCATTTCGTTTTCAGACGAGCGTTAAACTGATCTTGAGTCTCAGACTTACTCCTGTTCTCTCGATAATTGACCCGCGTCTAAATCTTTCTGCAATGAGTCTTCTTTGTTGCAATTTGTGCCCACAACTACCAAACTACCGCTGTGAAACGGAATATCGCCAGGCTCATTTCGTAGGGTCGCATGAACTTTTAAAACAATCAGTTCTGTCCTCTCCAATGCATCCAGTTATGATGAATTCGATACCCGTCACGTTAATTATTGCCACTCTGAAGAAAACAACGACTGGAAAAAACTTTTCGAATGCACTCCCTCAACCACCTTGCTCATATCCACAGTTACGAACAACAGAACACCCTTTTCAAAGATTTATCGTCGAGACCGTGATAAATGTACAGGCATTTGCTGGGCAATTGAGCCCTTCCGACCTCCCGCATTTGCTAAATGGCTTCCCGGGCAGTCAGCACAGATCATCTTGGATCCATTTTGGCATTCGAGTCCATAGAAACTTTGACATTGGAAGGGTCACAGCAATCATAATCGTTTCATATTGCAGACCTGTTTGAAATGCATCACAAGCTTTAAATAAGTTCTATGAGCCTACGGCGTCCAGCGACCGACGACGCCGTAGAACAAAGCATGTGCCGGTCGGTGAATCGAATCCGAGATCGAAGAGGGCACGGTAAATAGACCAAAAAATACCAAAACATGAAAATAATCTGAAGAAGAATTGCCGGATCGATTTCGTGGCATGAACACGGCTAAGAACTTTCGACGGGTTGAGTTTTGGCTGTTGGCTGCTGTTCCTAACAAAGGTGAACGATTATGTTCAGCGTGATGACCGACGATGACAAATGAGAGAAATTATGAATTTATGAAAATTCGCCGGGATGAGTAGATTGTGTGTTTGTATCATTGCTGGTAGCACCTGGTGTGCGCCGGTGGTAGATCTGAGTCGTTGGCGGATGAACGGAAGAATCCCGTTTTTTGAAACTTTGATGCCACGCGTTTTGGCAACGAATTATGAAAAGTGAGGTAATCACTCGTCTGAAAATCATATCGTACCTCGCATGTACATCAGCCGTTCCAGCCGGTGGTGTCCGTCGTTGGCTGGGACCGTCGTCCCGTGTGGTGGCTGTCGTTGCGGATCAGCCGCCGTCGTTGTCACGGTGTGCATCGACCAGACGCGGTGGCACGAATATCGAACCGATGCTCGATCTCTTACAAGCCGAAGTGGCTTTCCGTTGTAGAGGAACACGTCACGTTCACCGAATGACGAATACGTCGTATACGTCTACGTCACGGCGAAGGTAGAATTTTCCGGCCGGAAGATATGTATCATGGCTGCCTGACTGTAGGACGTCGATCACCTGAATCGACGCGACAGTAAACAACACCTCTTCACTACATTCCCCAAGTGTTTCGTCACGACAGCAGCTGAATGGCCGGCCGACTTTTCCTCTTTTCCTCTTTTCCTCTCACACGCTGCCCCAGCTCCAGCCTACAAGCGTACCAGTGAATATTTTGCTCCCTACGACAAACCTCTATCTAACTCAGTTAAACGAGGCGAGTATAAAAAATGAAGAGGCAAAAACCATGAGTGTTGCATCTGACAAATCTGTGCAAATACATAGGATGAACTATTTAATGAACGATACGAAAAAGAAAAATAAAAGGTTTTAATAAAAGTTAAAAATTAACGTTTAGAAGAACAACGATGATAAATGGAAAGCTATGGATTCTCTGGGATCCTCTGATATCTAGAAAACAGTGTGGGTAAATTACTTATAGGCTAACATGAAGTTACAAGGAGCTTGAAAAGAGATCGCCCCGTCAAACTATCAGCCAATAAGTGAGTTGTGTCATATTGCTTTGTCGATGTCACAGCGATATAAGAAGGTCATGAAGGTGGTCAAATTCAAAATCTAGTTTTACATCCTCTTAATGGAAACTGGAGAACGACTTAAAAACAGGCACCAAGCCAGGTCAAGGCAAAATGGAGAGTTTTTCGTTGGCCAGTTTGAAAGCATTTATGACTGCCATAAACCTGAATGAGATTGACCAACAGGGTAAAGGTTGTGCAAGACTGAGATGTCTTATGTCTTCTGCCCATACCTCTGAACAGAAGTCTGGCGGGGTATGATTTTAATACGCCTACTCTTCGTGGCTTCTTGTCCTTATGCTAGGAGTCACAACAATTGTCCTATGGCCATGGCCTCCAACATGCTCACATACAATGCACAATTTCTACACTTTAAGCTCTTACGATGTTCTATTACCGATGAATTTGTTGCTCATTTTCAGTTACTGGG